CAACTCAATTGTCATCCATCAAGGCGTTATAATCAGGAGGTAGACTCAGCATTATACTGTAGCCGCGAGGTACCTGGGGGAGAACCTGTTTAGAAGGATGAATTTTTCTTGCAAGAGTTGAAGTAGTTTGGCCACTTATATTTAAAATCAAATACATCATTCATCTTTATTGATAGAAATACCTTCAGTGTAAGAAACATCAAATTATATTAATCATGTTTTTTGTACATAGGTCAGAAAAAACTGGGAAGAGTGGCCACTCCAGATCCATGGAAGTCAGGTGCAAAGGGTGCAAGTGGTAGTAAAACTAGTAAGATAATAAAATATAAAACATGTTTTTGCTCCCTCTGTTCTCCTGGGAAGTGAGTATCTATGTGTGTTTATGCTTGGCCAAAATATAATGTGTATGGCCATCCATCAGCTTTTTTTATTTATAAAGAATTCTCTTTAAAAAAAAATCCTGAATGACATAATAAATCTTGTTACCTAGGGCCTGTTTCTACTGATGAGAAAGAACCTTTCTTAAAGCCAGGCTCGGAGGAAAAAAAGGTGGAAAAAAGGGTGGTTACGCCCCAGTTTCTCCATTAACCGCTTTCAAGTTTTTTTGTGTCTTAGAAAATTTGTACAACATATCAAAATTTATAGTTTTAATTTGACACAAGGTCAACTTAGCTGTTAGGCTAGGCCTATGTCTGGTACTACTAGAATTTTTATCAGACATTGTAAAATACTTCTCATTAATTTATGTCTCCTACATGATTTTACTTTTAGACATATTCATAATTTTATTTCTAACAAATTAATTTTTAGCTGGCAGTGGAAGAAAGGTTGGTGAGAACAAATTATTAACAGCCTCAAAATCAAAGTAAGTAATTAAAATTAATTTGCGTAATGACACCATGTTGATCATTGCGTCAAACCATAGACAAATTAGTTAAACAAGGGAGTTGTTATGACTATAACAAATCCTTAGTTAAACTAACTTTACTTTTTGATGGTACTTGGGTATACTATTCTGACAGCCTGAACTTTTTAAAATTCAATTTAAATACGTATTTCACACATTTTTTTACAGGTATTCACCATACAGTAAATCATTTGTCAAGTGTCGTATCTGCAAGCAGTCTGTACACCAAGTTGGTTCTCATTATTGCCAGGGTTGTGCCTACAAAAAAGGTATGTCAAAGGTAATCATTTGGTGTACTGTGAATTTTTCATTTTAGTTTTTTATTTGTTTCATCACACGGCAATACAAAGAGAAAATTCACAGACCGATGCAGCGGTGGCAAAGAGAAAATGAAAAACCCAAAGAATTTCAGCACAAAATAAATTAAAAACAGAAGCATGGCATAGATTATTCAATTCAATTCAATTCAATTTATTATATCATTTGCAACGCATACATTACATCACATAGAAAATATTGTGGCTCTTTTTAACATGGACCAACGTCCAATTCGGCAAACAATGAACAAATGGAAAACAGTGAATTATCAGAGCAACGGACACAATGAAATGTTATTGTATTGCATTGAGGGCCCGGATGGCTGACGGAAAGAAACTCTTTTGGAACCTGCTCGTTCG